ATATACAGACCTTGTTCAAATTTTAAATTTTCTAACCTATTTCCGGGTCCCATAGCCAATCCAAGAACATACATTGAATTAAGTTGTCATGTCTCTTTAGTCTCCTTTAATCTGGAAATGGTCCTCAGCTGATCTCTGTCTTTCATGAGCTTGACAGTGGAGATATCTGACAGAGTAACTGGCCTGAGTCTTCCAAAATGTCAAGCTCAAGAAAAACAAAGTGAGACTCAGGTACATTTTTAGTTAGTTAAGTGTCAATAGGATTACATCAGAAAGTGATTAATGGAACTATATGCAAATTCAGATTAATTGGCTGTGATAGTTACATAGAGATGTTGTGGCATCCCGTAAGCAAAGGATGTTTGCCAATAAAAGATGCTCAGAAACATTTGAATTGGATAAACGTTTGCCACAAAAAAGCAACTTGTTCTTTGGGAAACCCCCCCACCTTTTTTTTTTTTAGTTTTAAAATACCGATTTTTTAAATGAGTAATTGCAGTGTGAGATCTTGATATGAAGATTAAATTCTCATCAAAGAGGGAATGTGATACATTACATTTTTTACTGAAAGACCTTATATTTGGGAGGCTGAAGCAAAGGAAATAAACATACTCTCCTGGTGTTTCTGGAGTCTCTTCAGTGTCCTCTGATGTAATTCAATTTATGACTTGGTGACAGAAGTAGATACCCTGCAATGATGGAATGTTCTGTCTCACTTCATGACTTAACTGGAGGTCTAATTTTTAAAATGTTTACAGTGAAATTAAGATATAATGGATGATTCTATTAACTTTGTTCTTGTTTTCATATGATTAACATTTCCAGTACAAATCTGGTCTGTTTGACAAAAGGTACCTAGCCTAATGATGATTTATTCTCAGAGATATAGATACAACCTCACAGAACTGTGACAGAAGTAGCTTTTCCTGTTTTTGTTGGTTTTGATTTTGTTTTGATTTGGCTTTGGGTTAGAGGTTTAGCTGGTAAGGAATGGAAATTATAACTAAATAGTTTATAGTGGATTTGATGAGCCAAAATGCTAGCGCTCAGCCAGAGAAAGCCAGGAAGGCTCTCTAAGAGAGACATGACGCTCCTTCCATGACTAGCACGTATGGTGGCACAGTGGACATTCTACTCCTGTAGCAACAGATACACTGTTCCAACAGGATGTGTCCCATAGAGAGATCTTTTTCCTGTGTTATGTGATATACTGTCTTCCCTTGTAGATGAAATACTTCATTATTTTTCCTTCGAAAAGCAATATTGTTTTTGACTATATTTTCAGTTGCTACCCACACACTATAAATAATGCAGCTAACTCCCAGAAAACAGTGTTCTAGAGATTCTGGCACATAAAGCTTCTCTTCTTACTGCTGGGAAATTTTCTACTTAGCTTACTGAGGAGACCTGATATCAGTAGTAGACTGTCATCAAGAGTGAAGCTTTAAGCAAGGGTTTAATCCTTTCATCAAATTAGAATACCCTCATACTGATTTGTAGTGTACATTTCATGTAGGTTTGAATGACAACTAACCCCATGTTATATCCCTAAGCTGACATACACTGGAGTTGGAGGACTAGTCAACTCTAATGTCACTATTTCTCCTTAGTCCCTCCCCGTATAGTTATATTAGTTCCCCAACTGTATTTCTTATTCTGCTGTAGAAACACAATAAATCTTTTTGGAAGTTTTTTAAACATTCTGACTGTTGCAGACTAAAACTTGTGTTAATGTCTGTGCGATATGCCTTAAAGCATCGAGATAACTGGATATTTCCCATTTTGCTACGGACTCAAGTCTCCATTTCCAAATTGCTTAAATACTCAGCATGATTCATCTTTGCTCATGGTCTTCCTAGCTGAAATAGTGTCATAATTAAAATTTACAGAGTGATTTTAAAGCCTAAAGGGTTTGGGACACTTAAAATGTTTTAACTGATATTTTACTGTAAGCATACTTAGTAGCTATATGACTTTGAGCTCATTACTGAAACTCTTTGCCTCAATTACCTCAACTGTTAAATGGTGATAATGTGATATGGCTTAAGTGTGAATTTATTTAAAGTCCTTAGCATATTTTCTGTCACTTAATAAGCGTGTATTATCATTATGGAGTGCTGTGGTTCATAGTGACCAGAACAGTGCCACGGTTCGTTTTTCTCTGACCAGAGTTTAAGCAGTGTTAAACTAGAATACTGTCCCTTGTTGTCTAGCATATGGCTGTGTCTTACGAGCGTGCTTGCAACAAAGTTTTTTCTAAACTTGTCCTTATCTCACTGCTTTCCAATTTTTACCTGTGCGCTGTCATCTTCCCTCTAAAGAAATTATTTGCTGCTTCTACTACAGTCTTTCATAGCTGTTAACATTTGAGCATTTCTGAAAAATGTGTTTCTGCTGAGCTGTTGCCTGGAATATCTTGTTGGGTCACTCACTAAATTAGAAAAACAGACAAACTTATAGCATTATTTCTAAGCTGGGATCGGTTTCAGAAATCCATTGATGTAGAGGGAAATAATGAGTAAAAAGGGTGACTAAAATATTTCTCTGTCATTTTCTGGGTTGGAGAGTAGGCAAGTGGTGGCTTACTTAGGAACCACAGAGGGCGGGAAAGCTGCAATAGTGCCTGTCTTGAATTTGCTGTCTTGATGTGGGGGTGCGGGGACATGATGAAATTGACTTCCCGGTTCATGTTTTTAGTGGATCAGAATAGCAGGGGTGCTGGCTCTGTTGTGAGGCGTAATGCCTGGGAGGACTGCCCTGAGAGCAGCCACTCCGGGAAACGTGTTCACAGCATTTCTCCCTCTTGCATCAGAGAGGATTGTGGAGCCTTTTTCTTCCAGCGTGTTGGAAAACTTACATGGTTTCTGGATAGAATTTAAAAATAAACTTAATTTTTACATATACAAAATAATCCAATTATTACAGATGATCCCTTTCCAAGTCTGTATTTTTTTTTTTTTTTTTGAGACAGAGTCTACTGTATTGCCCGGGCTAGAGTGCCGTGGCGTCATCCTAGCTCACAGCAACCTCAAACTCCTGGCCTCAAGTGATCCTCCTGCCTTTGCCTCTGAAATTATTTTTATCTAATTATATACCCAGAAGATATTTATTAAGTACTTATTAAGTTTGAAACATTGTTAAATGCTATGAGGGATACAAACCACTGTAAAGGATACTCCAATTATTGCCATTTACAGGAGAGAAAACTAAGGGTCAGAAAAGCTAACTAAGTAAACTCTGAGGTTGAGCAGCTAGTAAGTGGCAGGGGCAGACTTGAATCCAAGTCTGTCTGACTGTGAAGCCTGCTTTAACCACCTTCTGTACTGCCTTATTTCACTCTGTTGTGTCTGAATGTAAAGTTTCGTGCTTATCTAGAAATATGAGAGCATGTAGTTACAACCCATTCTTCACTTTTTTGTTTCACAGACATGTCACAGATCTAAGCAACAGGGATTTAATTATTGTACATCAGCCATTTCTTCTCCATTGACAAAATCCATCTCATTAATGACAATCAGCCATCCTGGATTGGACAGTGAGTATACTACTTTTAAAAAAATTGAATATATTATGTCTTAACTACTTTTCCTGTCATTTTTCTCACTTTAAGGCCCTATAACATTTTCTTTCAAAATTTCTTCTGAACAAATGGCTCAGCACTTAAATGGAAAA